AATCTAACAGGAGATGAAAAAGTAAAAGAATCTAAAGTGACTAAAGTGATCCTTGTGAGCGGCAAACATTACTACGCCCTTGATAATTTCAGAGAAAGTACAGATCAGAGGAATGTAGCAATTATCAGAGTTGAAAATTTATGTCCTTTTCCAATACAAGAATTATTGCAAGAGATCGATAAATATAAATATGCAAAAAGTAAGTTACAAAAAGTAAATATTTAAATATATTACGAGATATAAATATAAATAATATTTCCTCAAGCTTTCATATGGAGTCAAGAAGAACCGCAAAATATGGGAGCATGGAGTTTTATCAAACCTCGTTTTGAAAATTTATGTGGCAGAGTAGTAAGTTAATAATGTATATAATGGTTGAAATATTTGCAAAAATAAAATTGTGACTTACAGATAAAATATAGTGGTCGTAAACCCATGGCTGCAGCAGCTGTAGGTGCAGGGAAGTTACATCAACAGCAAGCTCAAGAAGTGACCGTAAGACCCTTTAATATGAAATAAATTTTATATTGTATATTTTACTCTGTTTTATTTGTACACATGATTTAACTGCCAAAACTCACATTTATTTGCATAATGTATTACATATGCATTATATATTACATGAAGAAATAAATTATTTACATATCATTGAGCGAGTGTTATTGTAATGCATTATTATTATCAATAAAATATATTCACGGCATAAATACTAATTCCTGAAAAATTACACATTCAAAAATTATACTTTTTATCATTTAATATGCTCCTCTATCAAAAAAAAAAAAAAAAGAAAAAAATGATATAAATACAGGTAAAAGCAGGGATTTTTAATATCTTTAACATCCTAAATAACGTTTATTATAATTTCTTTGAAGCAAAATATGTTCTGTATTTGTTTGTCCTCCTTCTAAAAGAAGTAACAATAAAATCCCAAGTAATCTAGAAAGCTAGATTTATTTTGTAATAATTAGATTAGAGGAATTAATCTTTGTTAGTTTCTGCATTAGTTTCTGCACTTAAACGTTCGTGTTCTTTTTTTATGAGCTCTTTCAACTCATCCTGAAAAAAGATAAATTTAGACAAGCTATGTTTAAAGTAACTAAACATATAATTTAAAAATGAAACGTACACCCCAGCCTAACTTTTCTGCTAATAATTGACAGCCAGTATCACAATCGCCTAACCAAGCAACATCACGACCACCATGAGAACTTCGTGTATCAAAGATTAAACCATGTCGCAATCCTAGAAGTCGCGACAAACGGTCTTGCATACCAACTTTTTCTTTATTGATAAGTAAGCGTGGACAATTAGGTCGTACCCTTCAAAAAGATTATAGTTAGATGTACACACTAACTGCATGTGAAAATTGAGTGAAATGAGAACAGTGTGATGTTTACAACTAATACATACCTATCTACTAAAGATGCAAAAGGCTGAACAACCAAACTTGATCCCATAATTATTAAAACATCTGCTTGTGCAAAATCTCGATCAGCAAGGAAATGAAAGCGTTCGGGTAACATTTCTCCGAAAAACACTATATCAGGCTTTACTACACCTTCATTACATTCTTCGCATTTTGGTATAACACCTTCCATAATTTTTTCTGGAAACAGGTACTGAGTTTTGAGATATTTATATAACTACAATAATCGTGATCTTACTGTAACATTAGACAGAAATATATATAAAACGAAAAAAGCTGTACCTTTCATCCATGAAAGAGTGTATGGTGCTCTACACTTAAGGCATCGACCAGTATGAAATGTACCATGAGCTTCTACCAATTTTTCAGGAGGTAAACCAGCCATTCTTTCTAATGTATCGATATTTTGAGTATAATGTCTCAAGAGTAATCCCTTTTCCCATAAAAGACGAATAAAATAATGGCATGGTGTAGGCTTGAAACCTTCAGGTAACAATTCTCTGGCAAGCGTAAAAAATGGCTCAGGATTTTCCATAAAGAAATCTAATTCAAAAATAGCTTGAGGATGAGGTAGATTATATTTCTCTAAATTATGATAAAGACCACTTGATGGTGATCGAAAGTCAGGAATTCCTGCAGCTGAAAAATAAAAAAAAAGTAATAAGCATTTTATGCAATCTATCTATACAAGATATAATTATCTATACAACATATCTATTCAAGATTCGAAATGTTTTTAGAAACGTACATGTGGAGATACCAGCTCCAGCCATAGTAATGATTTTACAGTTTTCATTTTCTTTTATATAATCTACCACTCCATCTATGCTAAGTTCACGGAGGACTTTCTGCTGTGATTGTTCATCATAATTTGATGAATCAGAAAGTCTTAACATTTGTGCTAAATATTTACGTATTTTCTCCATCTCAGAATGTTCTACCTCTTCTTGTTCTGAAGAACTATTTGCTGCCTCTTCATTTGATTTCTTCTCTAATACAAAAAGAAAAAAATGAATAACAATTATAGCAATATTGTAGCAGGACTACAAACGTAACATTTGTTAGCAAGACAATTTAACAAATAAACGTGAACCATGAATTTTTAATTTTCATCACATGATCATACATCATGACTGTCTATTTCCTATTAGCTTTCACAAATGTAACATGCATTATTAACCGATTAAGATAATGAAATAACAACAAACTTAATGTAAAAAGAGAAATAATTCATTTAAGAAAATAAATACATTCTACTGACTCCAATAAAAATACATAAATACAGATTTTCGCCAGAGATGTTGGACAAATAATTGCCGTTGTCGGCTGATTAAAGGAAAAATGATGTGCGGTAACATTTTGACCCGCTGTAAACAGACATCGTAATGTTACGACTGTAGTACAACTCGATAAAGATACATGTCACTTAACATTTACCTAAAACTTTATGATAATATGAAAATTTAAATATTCTGAGACTATGACAATCGGCGTAGAACAATAGCTCTTCTTAATTCATTTTACCATTTTATTTAATTAAGCTTTATCCAAGCTCTGGGTGACAGTTAACCTCTATCATTATCATGTTCACTTCTTTATGTCATATTACATTAATTAATGTTACAGTAGATACGTAAAAAAATTAAAAAGTTCTATAATAATAAAAAATCTTGAGTTCATTATTTCATAATATTTTGGTATACAAGGTTAATGATTTCAACCAAGATTGTTAATTTCTGTTTTTGAAAAAATATGTATATTGAAGCAGAAAATTTAATCTTTTAAGTTCTGTGCCTCGATTTAAAAAACGATTTAACCGATAGGAAACAAAAAAATGAATTCTACTTTAGTGGACAAATGACAGTTCGAAAACGTTACCCTTTTCTGTGTCATCGTTATGTTCGGACATGTTTCCAAGTTTGTATAACTTTCTCAATTAATTCTAAGTGAAATTGTTCGATATCGTTGTCATTAGAAAAGTAATATTATTTATATATTCACTTGTGTGTACGTTTAAAACAAATTGTCGAGAACAACTCGCATTCGACTAAACATGAAGAGATAATGTTTTAGGGTTTTATATTTTGTTTCTTTATTTTATATATATATATATTTTATATATATATAATATATATATTTTATATATATATAATATATATATTTTATATTATATATATATAATATATATAT